TTCATACAGAGATGTTGAAATATTTGCTATAGGAATTGAATACAGCACGGCCAATTTATACACACCAGAATGGCTACTAGCCAATATGGCTAATGATGAAACTTGCGCTCAGGTGATCCATAGTGCTTAAGATTAGCATTTAGTACAAGGCATGTACGCGGCCTTTGAGGCAGAGGTAACTGTAGTTGATGAATTTTTTTTTCAGGGCATGAAAGTCGCCATTGCTTCCATCATGAGGAACGACATTCTCGGGAGTCTGTAGCACACACCTCGGAGTCAATACATGCACTGCAAAAGCAATGAAGCTAGTGCGTTGGCTTGGAATCAATGAAGACAACAAGTATTGTTCAGCGACGCCCAATCTTTCAGCAATACCCGTATATCCTGCCAAGTCATCTACTTAATATGAGACCGGCTTCCGACCTCACATGGAGTCTAATTTGTGTTGACATTTCAAGTCCGCTGACTGCTCTTACCTCCTATCTTTTGACACATTCTCCAACTTTCGGATGTAAAAAAAACTTTGCGGAACAAAGTACCGGCTGTGGTGGAGAAGTTTCACAGTATGCTCTACAGACATGGAAACCACTTGAGGCGTGCAGGTAGCATGCCACGGTTTTCAACGCTAATTCCAGTAATTCGTTTGCAAGTACGACTTTGTCCACTCTACATCAAGCCCACATTTTCAGTTTTGAATATTTGAAAAAAAACACGTCTTAAGATAGTTAAAAAAATTTGAAGAGAGCTGTTGAAGCAAACGAAAATGGGTGGCTGAGATTGTAAATTACAGATCTATACGACTAGATGATGGCAGTGTCCGAACGAGCTGCTTAAGTGTCAAAAATTAAGGTTCCTCATTCCCTTGTTTTAACCAGAAGCTCCACTATGAGTACACAAGCCTACTCATAACACCCATTGAAGATCTACACAATTGTCTGTCAGTGAAAATAAAGTCGTAAGGATCCCGGACAATCGGGGAGAGCACCGAAAAGCTCAGGTGGAACGAAGCGCAGCGCATCGTTCTTATCTGTCCAGTGCCGAAGGTAGAAACGCGTTGCGACGAAACCAGATGCACCCCGTCCCTCTCACGAGGATTTTATCCAGCAGGATAATCACTCTGAAGCACATAACACAACACACACTTTACTTTCCTCTGGCCCAGCACGTGGACATGAAGGAACTAACGTTCAAGTGCCTCTGTCTAGAAGCGTCACAAGAGGCAGCCGTGTGAATACAGGGCTGTCGTATACATCCATGAACATTCCTCTCCGAAAATCAACACGTGTACGAGAGCCAGCCCAATGGCTGTGTAGGCGACAATTACAAACAACATTATTGAATTCAATTATTTCACCCTCACTTGTAGCGAAAGGGAAATGTAAAGGTCCTGGCTAGTGCTCTGGCGAATTGCGGCACCGTATGCAATGTCTCCGCGGAATCACAGGGTATTGAAGCAAGAGCACACTGCAACTTAATCCTCTTTCTTCGATCCAACTTTCTGACTGCTGCCATTATTTGACACAACATCTTCAGCGTCTCGTACACCTCCAGCACGCGAGCACTGTCAAAGCAACGGCGACCAATTAGCGTGCACACTTTCCGGGCCTCTCTTCCACTGGTCACTTTTATGTTTTCCCGTATTTTGATCGAGCATGTTTGTTCTCTTGGTTTATACTTTTTTATCATGTGTACCAAAGTGAACACCTCTGTGGTTGTTTTTGGACACATGAAGTAAAGATTTATTATTTATATTATTATTATTATTATCAAAGAGCAACGGAGGCATGGAGCGCGTCCTCAAGGCTGCGAGTTGAAAGGACAGGCCCTGCCGTTCTCATTTACCCATCGTGTCCGTCGAATTAGAATTCTATGCTTCCATATGCAAATTTATCTCTCACAATCGTATTGTAAGCTAATAACTTTCCGTTAGCCGGTGTGTTCTGTAGATTGTCTCTAATATAACCAAGCTTTCTAAAAGCAGCAGGTGTAATGTTATCTACGTGTCTTGGGCAGTTGAAACGCTCGTCGATTCTCAGCTTAAGATAATTGTGGTGATCTACCTCAGCGAAATTATAACCCTGAATATCATGCTGAAAAGAAAGTCGCTTCTTTTTATTCATGTTTGTAAGGAAGAGAGTTTTTTTTTTAAGATTCAAGGACATCTTCCAATGATCGTACAAATCCTGTATTTAATGTAAACTCGTATTGAGTTCAATTTGATCGTCAGTACATGATATATCCTTAAATCATACGCACTCATCCGCAGAGAATGGCATGCTCACGACCGGTACAACAGTAGAAGCAATATCGTTGACGTAGATTAAAAAATAGAGGCCCCAGGACACTTCAGATACCGCACAAGTCACATCTAGCATCTTTGAGCGGCCAGCGCCAGACTCCACGCATTGGTTACGGACATTTAATTATGAGTCGATACATTTTACTCTGAATGCGTCAAGACCAACACTTTCCAATTTATATAGCAAGCTCCCGTGTGATACTTTATCAAAAGCCTTGATGAAGTCAAGTAATATACTATCTACTTGACCGGAATTATAAAAAGTGACTGTATTTTTATGCACTGTGCTAACTAGCTGATTCAGTTTACGAGTACCCTTTTTGATATTTATGTTGAAACAGTGTCATTAAATTATTGTTATAGAGAAAGTCATTGGTCATATTCTAAATAACGTGCTCTAATAGCTTACACAATGAACGTGTCAGCGAAATCGGCCTGAAACTGCTCAAAGACAAACGTTCACCTTTTTTTAACAGCGTCACAATTTGTGCCTGGAGCCAATCATTCGGCAGAACAGCGGATGAATATGAGTCTCGGAAAACCACTGTTGAAAAGTTAGCTAAGGACTCTGCGAAACGACGCGAAAATGCGTAGGGCAGCCTATCATGAAAAACAATGTTTTTTTCCAAGTTTACTACCATCAAAAAATTTCCAGAGTGAGCTATAAAATCAGCGTTCAGAAGTGACGACACAAAGATTTCACGCCCATATGTTTAGTGTCAGAGAAAAATACTGAAAGTAATGATTAAAATGACGAGTGATCTTTGGCTCATCAGCAACCACCATTTTTCCAACATATATATTAATTATTGGTTTTCTTCTGTTGCTCATAATGCTCCAAAGCCTCTAGCGTTCGTTTTTAAGGATATTAGTGAGAGTAATAAAAATAATAATCACACCCTTGTTTAATATGTCTTCCTAACTCATCCAGCATGTTCTCAGGGCGACCGTTATTATCACGTTTTGCCTCTTTCAGATGTTTATCCTTTGTTTTAAACGAATTATATTTCGGTTAATTTAGGGGTTGGACTTTCTTACGCGCTTGATTTTGCTCGGGATAAACTGATCAAGACAAATGTGGTAAATTGTCTTAAATTTGTTCCATAAACATTGATATGTAAATCATTAATACTATCAAATTGTAATTCACTGCAGTTACAAGTCTTTCCCCTTTAGATTTTGAGAAGTCTTTAAAGGTTTTAAGTGCGCTTTTTCTTAAGAATGTTGTTTCGCCAAATTGCAACGGAATAAAAAAGCTTACGATCAGAAATACCATCTGCTACACTAACCGTATCATCAGATATACATCTGTCTAGGAAGAAAATATCAAAATGAGCACCTTGATCCCCGATCCCGCCTGTTTCGATTATAACTTGATATAGATCATGAGCAAACATAACGTGAAAATAACCTCACTGTGCTGACACAAATCTGCTGACAAACGAGCCCAATTTATAATTGGAAGGTTGAAATCCCAATAACTGCAAGCTTATTGTTCCGGCTGAGAGACATGGTTGTACAGCTGGTTTAGAACGTCAAGTTGTGAATTAGGCGTGCTCTGTAAACACCGTATAAAACAATGGTGGTGCCCCAACAATGCAGCTTCATATACGAGCTCTGATTTTCCTCAATTTGCTCTAAAAGCTAGGTATGGATAGTACTTTTCTATATTACAGCATCTCTACCACGTGCGCGGCAGTCTCAATGGAATATCTTGCGATATGGGGGAACAAGACTGCCATCGCTCATATTATCATGTATTCATGTTTCCGTTATCGCAGTGACATGTGCATCGTAATTTAATAAAAGAAGTTCAAGTTTATCAGTTTTGTTTACGATGCTCTGCGCATTTAAGTTTTAAAGGTTATTCATCAGAACGTGGGCTGCGATCGTGGCAGCGAAACACGGGGGTTAGCAACGTCATCCCAGACATACCATTCTTCCCCAAGTAGCACATCACGCCGGGTTGGGGATGGGGCGGTATTGGCCTGCCGGGATACCGATACCGGCCAGTACCGGAAACGCCCCAAGGGGCGACATCGGCCGGGCCCAATGCCGGAATCCGGCCGGTACCGGGAACTTATTGGGAAACCGGGATGCCGGGAATACGGGATGTTCCCAGCGAGCTCCCGACACAGATCCCCGGCATGGAACCGGTGGTACGGTAGGAAACCATCAGTGTGCCAGCGTGTTTCCGGGTCAGAGCCAGTCCAATTGCGGATTAGTCCCAGCGTAAAAACAGATCAGTGCCAGCGTAATTGCGGGTCAGTGCCTGCGAAATTGCGGATCAGCACCAGCGTATGCGTCATTCAGTGTACCCAGCATAGAACCAGCAGAATGCTAGCTGTGTCAGGCTTTAAAGCCCAGGAATGACATCCTACTGCATTTTTGAACAGCTAACTTCTCAGTAGATCAAACTGACTTAAATGTGGAAATGCTAAATTTCTCAGTCCGAACTATTTTATTGGTTTTCATATTTTTTATAGGTGCTGACCGTTTTTAACATGTTTTTCGGACTTGAATTGAAAAAAGCCGGTTTCGTATTTGTGCAATTTTAAGAAACAATTCTGTGTGAACAATTGACTTTCTCCGTGTATACAGTATACTCATGGCAATTATTGTATACTCGTTGAGACGACATGTCCCATTCATTGTCGCCCAGATGCATATTGTGGGTAGTACAAGAAGGGAACATACAAAATTTTTTTTACCGTGACGTTCTTTATTGTGACTCGTGCATCCATAGCAGCTAGCTCCTCAGCCAGAGTGTCCCTCATCGTCAAAGGCGGTTGGAACCACCAGTGGAGTGTCCGTCTTTTTAACTCTATTGCCCTTGCCCGCCTCCCTGCCCGTCAGCCACTTCGGCACCGCGTCCACGCTGCACGAGTGCAACTTTGTATGGCACCTGTAAAGAGAATTGTCAGATCATACAGATTAGTTGAGGGATAGGGGAAGCCAATATCTTGCATATTAGCTACACACAAGGTGCTGTTCACACACTGCAGTTTGTGAGCATTTCCTTTGTGTAAATATAGGTCCCTCACCAAGCCTGCAATTCAAAGGTGACAGAAAGAGAGCACCACAGAGGTGGAGATTGTGGGTTTGGCTACCACGCTAAGGTGCAGATTCTATGGAGGCACGCAACATCCTATTAATGTGAAATGGGGGGCGAGACGGGGCGGAGGGCGAGAATGGGTGGGGCGCAGAGACAAGTGGCTAAAAAAAAGAGAAAAACTTCCCCAACTGACACTCTACAGACCAAGACCTCTAAATGGTCGTCATTAGATTTTCAACCTGGAAACTAACAGGATAACAAGACAAGACCAACAAAAACCTTTTTTCACAGTTCCTTCAAAACGCTGATTTTCAGTATGAAGGTTCCGAGAATGCTAACACAGGAGATATTCATAATAAAAAATGCAAATCGAATTAAAAAAAAAAAACAAAAAAAAACGACAGGAATTGACGACTTAAATTTTGCATATTGCAAGACTTAACGGGAAACTGATGCTGTTCTGTATTTGAGGAAGAACACCAAAATCGTCTTGATATGGCCTCCAGGATCACGAATATCGAGTTTATTTTTTTCAATCTGGTGCATGGAGGCTGCAGAAATTAATTTCTAAAGTACAGCTGAAGCCCCTTCTTCCCGGGGCGTGACGTCATGCTGGGAGTTTTCGGAATTTCTGCTTTCGCTCATCTTCAGCTCATGTAAAACCTATGCACGTGAACTCTTGAATTTGTAAAAAGCTCAGAAATAGACGCCACAACTGGCGTCAGTGTGGAAAAATACAACTGGCAAGCTTGCAATTGCACGCGCCGCCCACACGAGCGACACGTGCTTGGCGCCCCAAAGATCCTAGTACGACGTCACGACTGCTCTGAGGCTTTTCGTGTTTTCTCGCGTCTAGTTACACCTTCGGGGAAAACGAAAGCGATATTCAGATTCACAGGACAAAAATATGCCAGAAGTTACCTATAAGTCGTTTTTTTGTCAAGAAGTGTTTCAGTTTCCCTTTAATTGTCAACATATTTCAAAGATTGTGCTTGTCTATTGAGCTCCAATAGAGATACCATCAATTTAATAGCTAGTAAAGAATATGCATTACCGATGACCACCTTACACATCATGGCGTCCTTGAACCTTGACTTTCCTTGGTAGCCCAGAAGGGCCGGAGAACTGCTCCTGGACTTGCTTTGAGAACAGGCGTCCCACCACCTCTCGCACCACCTTCTGCAGGTTCTTGCTGTCTCCTAGAGACACGAGCTGCTCCTCCTAAAAAGACAAAATGTGTTCTCAATATGTCAATAAAGTTATTTATATGCAGATACAATGGTATGAACATGTCTCAAGTAAGAGAATGTGAATGCCCAAGTAAATGCAGCAAGCCACACTATACATGCATCAAAAGGTTACAATATTTACTAGAGAGAGAATAAAAAATATTAGAATATATGGCAACTCTATCTGTCTTAGACGAAACCAGAAAGATTAAAATATTTCCCTCCATACTCCGCTACATCTCATTAGTCAGTCAAATTCGTTGCAACGTTCAAATTGTGCAAACGTTTTGATGGATCCTCTTTGCCCATCAGCATCCACTCGGTGATTTCAATAATGTATGTGGTTCTCAAAACAGTGCATTCAAGACCCTGCACATCTTGACTTTGTTAAAGCTTAGTCTAGCTGCCGGCTAGTCACCCTGCAAATTTATCACCTATTTTACAACTTTACGAAGACTGGAATTGAAAAAGGCATAAAAAGGCAGGAATTGACCAAAACCGTCATCATAGTTGCAAAAAATGGCAACAGCAGCACAGTATGAGTAGTTACCTTTCCATATTTTTGTTTAGTGCTGACTCAGTGGTGGCCCTGTAGGCCAATGAACCAACTTACTCAGCTCAAGCTTGCCTCCTGTAATAATCGCTTGTGCGACTACCGTATGCTATGCCTGGAGACACAGCTGCGCATGCACTCACACCCCCTGAAGAAAGTGGCAGATGCAATGACAGTTACTCTTTCACCTTGGAAATTTTGATTTCCTCTCATAGGGTGACCTTCGGTTAGGACTGGTTAACATCTCATTTTGGAAATGCACTACTAATATAACGTAAAGATGGAGTTAATTAAGATTTATCTGGCAACCCCTTACAAATTTGTTTGGGCATACGCATATGGTGGGCAGACTCAAAAGCAATTTTAGACCAGGCTAAAAGTTATTTTCAAGCATGTACCTTTACTTCTGTAGCAGATGCCGAAAGCACAAATGAATTTATCGCCCTAAATATTTAGATCTCTTGACTATAGCCTCAAGTGAGAACCGGAACAAAACCAAAAGAAGCCCAATATATACTACAGCATCTCGATCCTTCTGTCAAGCAAGCATTAAACACAAAAAGCACGCAGGCAGGTTTGTGCGTGCTCCGCACATATACTCACGGCGAGAGTTGTTGCAGGTGCGGAATTTAACTTCTAAGGATAAAACGGGCAGAAGTGTCGTAGCAAATCAGCATGATTTATGATTATTTGCAGGCCGACATATTGTAAGCACCCAAAGGCAAATGTGTTGGGCGATTTTACTTCCCCCGTTGTGAAAAAATGCCATTCAATGAGGATGCACATGAAGGCCTCTTGTCTACACGACCTTCGGGTGGAAAGAACTGTTCAAAAATGTAATGATGCACAAATATTTAATTTTTGGTGGCCACCGTCCATCATTTCTCCCTTCAGTAGCCTCGATGAAACGCAGTTTAACAATTGCAAAAACTTTACGCAGGCTACTAAAGCTGACTTACAAAACGTGCAACTGGCGTTGTGTCACCTTGACACAATTCTATTGCAGGGTTCAGTTTAAGGGTACCCCTTGCAATAAATAGCCTTCCATTGTGCATTGGCTGTTCATGCACTCTGCTGTTATAAATAACAGAAGGCCCGTAATGAAGGTAGCGCAACTTACTCATTTTTAATTTGCCACCGACTGTGCTTAAAACATAGTTTGGGTGGGCATCCATTTGAAATATTACGGTAAAAGGCCCAAGTTAAACCACAAAGTAAAAATCGCAGCCTTATACCCGTCACTATTGTGAAAAAGAGGACACATAAATACCGGCAGTGTCCTGTTGGTGAAGTTCTTCAGCTGCGCTTCTGCAGCACTAAGCTGTCCCATGTTGCGGAGAGGCATCAGGAACAGCTCGGGTGGTTCAGGCCTCGCCAGTTCCTGGGGCGTCGCCTGTTCCCCGGGCCTCGCCTGCTCTCCCTGGTGCTTGAAAGACACCACGTGCCCGAGCACCTGCCCAACAGACTTGCAGTTCCCTGTTCTGCTGCTGTAGGTGCCCATTCTGGATGTGCAGGTCTATCACGGCCTAAGCAGCTGAGCGTCGAAGGCTGCAAGGTAACCAAGGCATAAGAAAGCATTATCCATTTTGCTGATCAACATTATGCACCGATGATGCGAAGAAACTTTTTCAGAAACTTGGGTTTCGGGAAGTTTCAGAAGAATGCTTGAACCTTCAGGTGTTTCGGATGGTTTGGGTAGCTTAGGAACAGTTGCCAGACACAGTGAGTGTTTCAAATTTTTGTAAAAATTTAAGAGACGTTATAATTTGTATGCAATATTCATAAATTTAATTTAAAAAAATGTGTTAATCAAATAAACTTTCTAAAAAGGAGACAGGGCCCCAATTTTCAGAACTTCACAGTTTTGGCTTGTATGGTCAAAATGAATGCTCCCACAAAGTTTTATGATGTTTTTTGACAATCAAAGGAAATAAAAATACTGATTCGTCGGCGACGCACGCGAGACGCGCTGCGCTTGGCTGCGATAAGCACCAGTTTAAAAATCTGATATATAGGTCCGTGCCTATTAGGCCTAGCTTGGTGCCTGTACCCTTGTTTGAACGGCCATTTTCTGGGCTTTCAGGACGGCCTTTTTTTTAAACTATCAACCGTCTAAGAATAGGAGAGAATCCCGTTAAGAACACTTGCCCTGGTATAGAAAACAAAATTGGCTGCAAGCGGCTGCTCTGTGGTCACATGATACCACTCACCTAGGCATATGACGCTTTAGAATGAATTGGCACTTCCAAGTAAAGCACAGGTCATCAATTGTGCCCCTTGTTAAATAGCAGAAGTTCCCAATACAACTTTGTTTTCTATCGTTTCACTTGCAGCATACAGTGTGTAACAGATGATCCACCTTTCTTCGGTTCTGGTAGCAGACGACGCAATGGCGTCTTGTTTCCCGCAGCAAATGACACTCTAGGGCAGACAAACCCTCCCTATTTACTTACGTTAGCAGGCGACGTGTCTGTTAAAGAAAAGTCAGCTCCCTCAGTACAAGCCTGACGAGATCTCAATCTCACAAAGCACCAAAATCGGGCCATTGGTACAACATTTCAAGGTACAAACAGAAGCTGCACAGCACGGCGCCGAAGCGAACTTGCTGCACCTAAAAACAAGCATCTAAGCTGTCCGTCTAAAACCTCTCCAGAGTAGGACAGCACCACAGTCGTTCTTGGCAGCATGCAATGCTTTCCCACAGCATTACGAGAAAGTTTTGTGACCAGTAGCGTATTGAAGGACTCGGTCACTACTGTAATTGTGCATGTGTAACTACGAAGATTATGGAGCTAACTAAATTGAGCAACTGCACGCAAGCTAATCTGGTCAAGCATGCTAACAGAGGGCAGATCAAAAAGGTGTGCTAGCACATTATCAGGACTTTAGGTGAAAAGGAAGAGTACAAAATAATACTTACTGCAGTTCTGCAAACTTGATGCTCTGAACGAAGGCCAGTCAGGGTCTGGTGCTCGGCCCGCTCGCACACGAGACAGGATGTCCGCCCCAAACATTTTGCTTGGCCTCACGCCGTTGTTTCATACTCACATCGAACCACAACAGAGGGACGGGCGCCACCGTTATTTCGTCATTCTCTTCGATGAACAGTACTCCTCCTCACTAGAATAAAAGGCGTGGTCAGACATGATGTTCATTCAAGTTACTTCAAACTGTCACGTCTTCGCAACCTTTAGCATATATTATAATAACTCCATGGCTATATCCCCATGCACGGCCACAATGAAACTCGACGGCGTCGCATTCCGGTATACGCCAAGTAATAAAAGTAGCATTAAAAGAGAAAAACGATGCTCATTTCGCATAAAGGTCTGTTTACACCATGCTTTGTAGCTTTTTACTTGCAACGGTTTCGTGATACCGAGGTTTCGTGCAAATAGCTTATTTACATCCAGTTTTTCAAGCAATGGCGTTTCGACTATACTCCGTTCATTTTTAAGCTGAGACTAGAAGCTCCGCCTTCAACGCAAGCTTTCTGCCCTTGCTAACACAAGTGCGATCACGCAGGCACGCGCAACCAAAGCACTGCAGAAGCCAGCGAGCTCGCACTGAAGGCTGAGATTCTAGTCTCAGCTTAGGGGCGAACGGAGTATACATTCCTTGCATATGACGGCACGCTAGGTAAGGACGGGGCCCTGTGCCATGCCGGTGGTGGACTTCACAATGCGCGGTTGTGCTTACCAAGGCGTAGGATGCCGCTAACTACCTGGACATACCGTAGAATACCGTGCATCCGCCCATTCCACATTAAGCACCCATTACCAAATTTGTGAGATCTGAGGAAATACGCACAGTACATTTATATGTAAAATTGACAACCGGACAAGCACCCATCCCCCATTTTTTTGCGATTATTTCCAAAGTTTGAGTGCACGCTTGCCCGGTATTTAACGGTACACTGTATTTTCATAGAAGGAACCTAGTTTTGTTTGATGTGAACTCGGAAAAACGAGCCGAGCTTACGATGATGATGTTTAGCCAGTACGTGCGGAATTTTTCAGCATTGGTGCGATTGCGCTACGAGCAGAAAGTTTCGATATACTGCTAAGTTATAATGCAAAAAAAATGTTGTGTCGAAAAAAAAAAAAAAAGTTGTATTGCGTGCCGCAAAATTTGACGAGCGGCTCTAGGAGTCGCCTGTAGAAAAATTGTTAAGACTTTGCGAAGTATGGCAAACAATGCAAGGTTACCGCCATAATCTAAAACCTGATGCAAGGATAAATAAAATAACGGACAAGCGTCTCGCGGACGGCACAAACCGATGCCCCGCCAGCAGCGTCTCGGCGAGCTAGCATGCCTCCACCAGCACGGCGCGGTCGCCCCCGGAGACCGCCTTGATCACCGGACACCGCGCGGTGCCAGCCACCAGTGCTAAACCCCCCCCCCACACACACACACACTCACGGATTAAGCGCGACGATGGGATGACGAGCTTGCGGGACGGTGAGACGACGCTCCTGACGCCCGACTCCTACTTCTATCTTCTCCCCTCACCCTACCCCAAATCAGTGACAAATGCGCCTAGCGCGCGTACACGATTGACTCTATCCCCCCCCCCCCCCCCTTAATTTCACTTCAACACTTACAACAACACACGGAGGCCACTGCCGACCGGTCACCGTCTCGCCGGGCTAGCGGCGCGACATTCGTCCATACTCGGCCGGGAGCCCCGAAGGTGCGCTCGAAGCGTGGAAACAGCGCGATGCGACGAAAGGCAAAGGGCATCTACACTACGAACGGGCAGAAGCCGATGCAAAAACGTGCGCGAACGTAAACAGAAAAGTGCCGCCGCTCGCCACTACGAAATAATACGCGGCCGCATCCTTTTCCTGCTGCTCGTAATTTCTCTTACTTGACGGCTACTCCGTCTTGCGGGACATGCCGACGAAACGATCGTCGGGATACGGCGAAGGGCCGTCAACACCGTCGAGTCAACCACCAGCAAGCGTTGTTGAGCGGAAGTTGGTTCACTAGGCCTACATACGACGAAACCGACAGAACACGAACATCAAAATCAAAGCACAGGCGGTAACTTCGAGCGACTTCTGCCCCGCATAGATTTACATGCAGCGCTTTCACTCGCCACCACGGTCACATACAATTTGTCAACCCTGGAGCCACCGTACCTGAACCATGCCGCGAACCACGCCAACGTCCCGCTCGCCATTTGTGTTTGCTCACCTTGTCCGGCTTTGGATTGGATGCTGGATCGGCTTTCTAGCAAAGTCTATCAACAGCTGGCTCGATGCTGGATGAGGTGTTTTCTAGTCCAAACACGAATTCGCAAATATATAATTATGCTACTGTGCTACTCTAAAAAAAAAAAAAAAAAAAAAAAAAGAAAACGCGGGCAGGAAGAAATACGCGACGTTTCGACGGAGTGCCCTCTGGGAACTAGTTGGCCACTCAGTTTCAGTTTCGATTGAGCAGTTTCCTTTCATGCTATCACGCCGTGACCGAATGCGCCGCTTGAGTTTTCGATTATCTGACTTTTCACGAATGTACAATACATTCGAAAGTACAATACATTCATTCATCGGGTTTATATAACTGTAGGGAAAAATAAATTATGTCTTAACGTCGGGGTCACCGTTAATCAAGTAGTAACAATCAACATTTTTGAACCGAAACTGTTAAAAAGCGAGGGCAGACGCTATGAAAGCGGTGGCAGCGCGTGCAACTGGGTGGATCGCTTACTGAGGCCGACCGCTCAACGACCGCTTGCGCGGAGCTCTCGGCATCTGCCTGGGCAAAGGGCTGGATCGCGCATCCCCACTTGGTCACTGCAGCTGCAGCGCGAGAGTGAAGCCACCGATCGGCGATTTTGCATGTTGAAAAATCGCGTTTTTGGAGCGTTGCGGAGGCTGGTGGCAACATGCTGAAGACATGTTTTCTACTCGTTCGTACTCATTCGTCGAAGAAGCTCTTTAAACCCCTGTGTAAGCCCTGAGACTTGCCGTTGAGAACATGTGGAAATGTTTACGGAAGCGCAGTGCCGCAGTAAAAATGCCCAACTCATCGAAAGCAAGTTTCGCCGCCACGATGCAACGCGCGGGTCACGAGTGACCCGCGCGTTGTATCATTGGGCTTTTTCCATAATGCAACGTGCGGGACCCTTGTGACGTCACACGTGACGTCAATTGTGACGTCATTATAGGGAATGTCCCATAATGCAATGCGCGGGTCACGAATGAGACCGCACATTGCATTATAGGACGTTTCCCATAACTCAACGCGTGGTTACGCCGACGGCGACGTTGGCGTCGCCGACCCGTGCGTTGCATAATGAGACGCTTCCCATAATGCAATGCGCGGGTCACAAATGAGACGGTGCGTTGCATTATGGGACGTTTTCCATAACGCAGCGCGCGGTTACGCCGACGGCGATGTTGGCGTCGCCGTCGCCGACCGCGCGTTGCATCATGTGACACTTCCCATAATGCAACGCGCGGGACCCTCATGACGTCACATACGCCGTCATTATGGGAAACGTCCCATAATGCAATGCGCGGGTCACAAGTAAGACCCGCGCGTTGCATTATGGGACGTTTCCCATAATGCAACCCGCGGTTACGCCGACGGCGACTGCGACGGCGATGCCGCTCAAGCCGGAAACGGGCGTCTAAGAGCTGCTCTCTAAAAAATTAATAGATGTAAACCAAATTAAATTTTCATTCCACAGCCATGTTTGATACCGTCTTTTTTAACAAAACTGAAATAAGCCTTTGTTAACTGGTTTAAGGATGACGCGGCGTTAATACTAGGCCAAGGATAATATTAGGTGTCATCTTTTAGCATATTGAAGACATATGTCCAACATAATGGTTATTTGTAACCATCATATAGTTTCTATATCAGCGAAAAAGCCATGTCGGTTACATATCAAAACTTGCATGGCTCGAATGGCATGTGAAAGCAGGGAAAAAATGTTGTCGGTCAGTCACCGAAAACTTCGTGGCTGAACTGGCCGGTGATTACAGAAAGAAAACGATATCGGCCAGTCGCCGGAAACTCCATGGCTAGACTGGCCGCCGACTACAGCAAGAAAACGATGTCGGCCAGTCACCAGAAACTCCATGGCTAGACTGGCCAGTGACTACAGCAAGAAAACGATATCGGCCAGTCACCGGAAACTCCATGGCTAGACTGGCCGGTGACTACAGCAAGAAAACGATGTCGGCCAGTCACCGGAAACTCCATGGCTAGACTGGCCAGCGACTACAGCAAGAAAACGATATCGGCCAGTCACCGGAAACTCCACGGCTAGACTGGCCGGTGACTACAGCAAGAAAACGATGTCGGCCGGTATCGGGAACTTTCCGGCTGGCGCTGGCCAGTTTAGACAACGAGACCCCGATATCGGCCGGGATCGGTTTCTTACCGGCGTCCCTGGCCGGGATCAGCCGTACAGCTCCCGGTACTGGCCGACGTAATCCCAGTATCGGCCGACATGGTGTGCTACCTGGGTCGTTCATGCGAAGCGTATCGCGTACCTAAAATACCTTTTTCAGCCGCCCTTCATGAGTCTTGGTGCTCAAGCAAAGTGACTGACGTTTCGATACGCTGTTTTGTGGAGGTCGTTGGGAATATTTATGCGTGTATAATTCA